TTTAAACAGACTCAGGCAGTTTGCCTATAGAACTTAGGGTTCATGCCACTCTGCTGTTCATTCAGATAATGGCTCATATTACAAATTAGGGGCATAATAGATAGTCTTAGGTAGAATTATTAGGTTTAGTGGGGGTGAAGCTAAATCACATATTAGATGATAGAAAGTTATGTATAGTAAGACTGTACAAACATAAAAGTTTTAGTATAAATGGGGTCTTAAATTTCCTAAATTAAAAATGACCCTTGGGAGGGGATAGTGAGGTAGGGGGAAGGGGGAGAGATAGGAAGGATGGGAAGGGGAAACAAAGGAGTAGGCAACATGCTTGATAAGAATTGTACTCATTATCTTGTAATTGTAACCCCTCTGTATGGTATTTTCACAGTAAAAAAAAATGACACTTAGTATTGATTCTCAGAATTGAGAACTTGCTTATCTTATTAAAATAGTAGTACTCGTTGTCTTGCCCATGTAATTGTAACTCCTCTGTATGGTATTCTCACAATAAAAAAAATAGTAATATACAATATAAAATAGTAGTACACAAATAGTATTTACAAATAATTGTAAATTATGAATTATAGGATACGGTTGCAGTTTTTTTCTTTTTTTCTTTTTTTGTCGGTTGTGGGGCTTGGGCGCTGTCCCTGCGCTCTTCACCTCAAGGCGAGCACTCTACCACTTGAGCTGCAGCTCCACTTCCAGTTTTCTGGTGGTTTATTGGAGATGAGTTTCACAGACTTTACTGCCTAGGCTAACTTTGAACGGCGATCCTCAGATCTCAGCCTCTGAGTAGCTAGGATTACAGGGGTGAGCCACTGGCGCCCGGCCTGTTGCAGTATTTTTTCCATATCCATTCAAGAATATAAAGGCTCTTTGAAATTTTGTCTGTAACATTTCATATGAGACTGCTTTCACAGTGCTGGGAAGGTAGCTCAGCGGTAGAGTGCTTGACATGCATGAGGCCCTGGGTTCTATTCCTCAGCACCACGTAAGGAGAAGCTGGAAGTGGCGCTGAGGCTCCAGTAGTAGAATGCTAGCCTTGAGCTGAAGAGCTGAGGGACAGTGCCCAGGCCCCATGACCAGCAAAAAAAAAAAAAAAAAGTACTTTCAAGGGCTGGGAAGGTGGGTCAGTGGTAGAGTACTTGCCTTGCATGCATGAAGCCTTGGGTTTGATTCCTCAGTACCACATAAATAAGCTGAAAAAAGCCGGAAGTGGCACTGTGGCTCAAGTGGTAGAGCTCTAGCCTTGAGCAGAATAACAGTACCCAGGCCCAGAGTGCAGACCCCACGACCGAAAAAAAAGAAAATACAAAGCTGGGCAATAGTGATTCACACCTGTAATGCTAGCTACTCAGAAGGCTGATATCTGGGGGTTGAGGTTTGAAGCCATCTCTGGCAGAAAAGTACCTCTGAGACTTTTTTTTTTTTTGCCGGTCATGGGCCTGAACTCTGGGCCTGGGCGCTGTCCCTCAGCTCTTCAGCTCAAGGCTAGCGCTCTACCACTGGAGCCACAGCGCCACTTCGGCTTTTTCTGTTTATGTGGTGCTGAGGAATTGAACCCAGGGCCTCATACATGCGAGGCAAGCACTCTACCACCTAGCCACCTTCCCAGCCCCCACTGAGACTCTTAATCTCCAATTAACCACTCAAAAACTGGAAGTGGCACTGTGGCGCAAGTGGTAGAACATTAGCCTTGAGCACAAAGAGGCTCAGGGACAGTACCTAGGCTCTCAGTTCAATCCTCACAACCAAAAAAAGAAAAAAGAAAAAATAAGCTCTGGGTTTGGTGGTGTGGTATATACTTATAACTATTGGGAGGATGACCCAGGAAGATTATGAGCTTGAGTCTGGCCTGGGCTATTGAGGGAAATTGTCTCCAAGAAAAATACTTTTTAACATGATGTTTAACAAGAAATTGAAATTTTGCAGCATAAATGAAAATTTCTCTACTCTTAGCTGTTTTTTTTTTTCTGTTTAAGTTTTATTTTTAGGTAAAGAATCCAAAGGAATCCTGAGAAAATGTGTCTCTTTTTTTGTTGTTGTTGTTGTTGTTGTTGGTCATGGAGCTTGAACTCTGGGCCTGGGCACTGTCCCTGAGCTCTTCAGCTCAAGGCTAGTGCTCTACTACTTGAGCCACAGTGCCACTTCTGGTTTTCTGAATAGTTTATTGGAGATAAAAGTCTCATGGACTTTCCTGTCCAGGCTGGCTTCCAACTGCAATCCTCAATCTCAGTCACCTGTGCCTGGCAAAAACATATATTGAAAAAAAAAGACACATTCTTTTTTGTGTGAGTATTGTGTGGCTTGAACTCTGGGCCTCTAGTTCTTGCTTGGCTTTTTCCACTTACAACTGGTGTTCTACCACTTGAACTACACCTTGCTGGAAGAGTCTCTTGGATTTATCTGCCTGGGCTAGCTTTGAACTTCTGTTCTCATATCTCAGCCTCCTGAATAGCCACGATTATAGGTATGAGATACTAGTACTGAGCAAGGGACACATTGTTAATAGAGATAACTACCTATACCATTCTATACCAAGTACTGGTGGTATCTTCCTTACCGACTGTTAACTTTGTCATTCTGCAATTGTCTGGAAACCAGTTACTTGTGGAAGAAGAAGAATAAAGAGCACAAACCAAGTAATTTTTTCCAGTGTTCACAATCTTTTTTTTTTTTTTTTTTTTGTCAGTTGTGGGGCTTGAACTCGGGGCCTGGGTGCTGTCTCTTGAGTTGTTCAGCTCAAGGCTAGTGTGCCTACTACCTTGAGCCACAGTGCTACTTCTGGTTTTCTGGTGGTTAATTGGAGATAAGACTCTCACAGACTTTCCTGCCCGGGCTGGCTTTGAACTGAGCTCCTCAGATCTTAGCCTCCTGAGTAGCTAGGATTATAGACGTGAACCACCAGTGCCCTGCCAGTGTTCACAATCTTCAACTTTATTTCATTCATTCAGCAGGACTTACTGAGCACCATATTGGTAATGAACAAAAGATGCAGTCATGCTATAAATTAGCTTATAAGTAGCCTTCAGTATAATTTATGGTCATATTATGGAATATTTTACAAGGCAGTTTATTGATGTATATTAAAATGTATTTCAGGTTTAGGAAGTTAAGGTTTGTGTTTTTTAATTATTATAGAGGCGATGTATAGAGGGATTACATTACATGAGTCAGGTAATGACATGTATTTCCTTTCATATAATGGCTTCTGTTCCCTCACTCTCTCCCAGTCCCTCCCTTCTGTACCCCCAAGTTGTATAGTTTCACCAGTGTCCAGTGAGCTCTACTGCTGCACATTTTCACTTTTTTTCTTTGAGTTCTGTACCCTCTCCAACTTGTCCAAAGATGTACTCTTGAATACAACATATATAAGGTAAAAAGACAGAATCGTCAAAAATGTTAAAAAAAGTTAGAGAAAAGAAAGTCTCGTTTCCATATCTTTATTTCTTATGTATATTATTTTATATAAATATAAACCACATAGGCATTGTGTCCTTGTGTTTCTTTGCTAAGAGTATCCTCTTTGGTCTCACTGTGAGTATTTAGACTCCTGTATATTGTAGATTTGTGTCATTATTGTTACTACTGTGACAGATACTTAAGAAATAACCTACAAGGAGGAAAGGGGTTTTTGGCTCATTTGAAAGATTTCAGTCCAGAGTTAGATGATTATATTGCTTCATCTTAAGATAAAGCAGAAAATTATGGTGTGTGTGTAGGTGTGTCCAGAAAGCAGAAGGAGAAAGGAGCTGGGAGTAGGGAGGTGCAAGAGAGGCGTGGCTATGCTAGTTAGACTTCTTTTTTCTCCCCCTTTGTTTCAGCCAAATCTGTTAGATACTGCTATCCACATTCCGGGCAGGGCAGGTCTCTTGTCCCCCATCTTCCCTAGTGTACTTTATTAATTTAGATATCTGTCCCTCCAATCAGGTTAATCATGGAGATCATAGTTTATATAAAATGCTCCTCAGAGCCGGGTGCTGGTAGCTCACGCCTGTAATCCTAGCTACTCAGGAGGCTGAGATCTGAGGATCGAGGTTCAAAGCCAGCCCAGGCAGGAGAGACCGTGAGACTCCTGTCTCTAATAAACCACCAGAAAACCGGAAGTGGCACTGTAGCTCAAGTGGTAGAGGGCTCGCCTTGAGCTGAAGAGCTGAGGGACAGCGCCCAGGCCCAGAGTTCAAGCCCCACGACCAACCAAAAAAAAAAAAAAATGCTCCTCAGCTTAATGTAAAAGTGTAATTTAGGTTTTTTGTTTTGTTTTGTTTTTGCCAGTCTTAAGGCTTGAATTCAGGGCCTGTGCACTGTCCCTGAGATTGTGGGCTCAAGACTAGCACTCTATCACTTCTACCTCTGCTGCCCTTTTAGTTTTTTGGTAGTTAATTTGAGATAAGGGTCTCACAGGCTTTTCTGCTAGGATTTACAGCATGAGCTACTAGTTGTAATTTTTTTATTTTTTGTAAAATGTTTGCTTTTGCATATCTTTCCTGTGAACTTAAGAGGAAAATTATGATCCCATATTTATGTCAGTACCAGACTAAAACCCATTATTACTGAATGTGACTTTTTTGGGGGGCGGGAGGGTGGCCAGTCATGGTGCTTGAACTTGGGGCTTAGGTATTGTCCCTCAGCTTCGTTTTCTCAAAGCTAGCACTGTACCACTTGAACCACAGTGCCACTTCTGGCTTTTTCTGTTTATGTGGTAATAAGGAATCAAACCCAGGGCTACATGCATGCTAGGCAAGCACTCTACCTCTAAGCTGCATTCCCAGCCCTGAATGTGACTTCTTAAGTTTTCTATGAAAATGAGAATGACTATGATTTTAACATAGACAAAGGGCCTAGAGATCATATTGACTGAAACTGGTACATGTATAGACAAATATTGAAATCAGAAGATTTTTTCAACTATTATCATCTTGAATATTTTACTGTGTTAAATTTAAAACTCCTAATTTCTCTCCATTATATATATGCTTCTTAGAGGTTAGAAAACTAACCCATGGTTTTCTTTCAGTCCTCACTAGGGTCTTCATCATCCTCATTCCAGTCAGTGAGTTCCTATGGACCGTTTGGCAGGATGCCAACATACAGTCAGTTCAGCCCAAGTACATTAGTCGGGCAGCAGTTTGGTGCAGTTGGTGTTGGTATGTGGTGCTTTTTCTTGTTTGTCTGTTCTTCCTTTACCACAAAGTTATTGACGTGTTATGTGATATTTCTTTTGTAGCTTCATTTTATGGTATTAAGAATGAGTTATTATATTAAGATTTTTTTTTTTTTGCCAGTCCTGTGGCTTAAACTCAGAGCCTGAGCACTGTTCCTGAGCTTCTTTTTTCTGAAGGCTAACATTACCACTTGAGCCAAAGTGCCATTTCTGTTTTTTTTTCTGTTTATGTGGTGCTAAGGAATCAAACCTAGGGCTTCATGCATGCTAGGCAAGCACTCTTAATGCTAAGTCATATTCCCAGCCCAGATTTTTTAAGAATTTGATTGGGGCCAATAGCTAGCATTTACTCAGAGCCTAGAACTTGCTTGACAGTTGTTCTACCACTTTTGCCAGGCCTACAATCTAAAAAGGTTTTATTTAGTGTTCTGAGTGATTAGTAGTTTCATGCAGATCAGTTTTCAGAATAGGCACCTGTTGTAAAATTAGATGTATCTAGTTAACAGATTTCATTTAGTGTTATTTTAAAGTTACATAAGACATGTCTACTTAAGAGGAAGAGTTTTTCACTGGGTGCTGGTAACTCAATTTGTGGTCCTAGCTACTTAGAAGACTGAGATCTGAGAATCGTGGTTCAAAGCCACCTTAGGCAGCAAAGTCTGTGAGGCTCTTACCTCCAATTAACTAGAAAAGACCTAAGTGAAAGAGCACCAACCTTGAGTGGGAAAAGCCCTGAGTTCAAGTCCCAGTATTAGTATTCATGCATGCCCATTTGCATTCACATACATACAAAATAGAGGAAAGAAAATGAAAATGACCACTACTGTAGAAACTTAAAGATTATCCTGGATGGGTATTTCAGTGAATGAGGCCTAGAAGGGCCTCTGTGGCTTATATGGCCCAATTTTCTTTCTTTGGACACCTTTCTTAAGAGGAAAGAGTGAAGATGGAATACTGTTTGTTGTCTTAGAAATGCTGAAAAAGCTCCTGGTCATTTGTGCAGATACATGAAGCGTAATCTTGGTATAGAGGTTACCATTTCAGCTACTTTGCAATCGTACATGTGTGTCCTTGCTGGTACAGATACCCACATGTGTTACTGTTTTCACCCTACATTGCCATAAATTTTGTAACTTATTTGGAATACTTTAATGAATTCCCAAGTTCATTAATTTGTACCAGTGCTATTGGAGATAAGCAAATAGCAAATACTACTATATACTAAAGGTGTTAAACTTTTTTTTTTTTTTAATGTTTTTATTATTTGAAAAACCTCTTCAAGCTGGAAACTCCTTGACATCTTTTGGAACAGAATCGTCAAACAGTGGTACCTTGTCCCAAAGTAATACAGTTGGTTCTGCCTTTACACAAGACACAAGATCTGTAAAAACCCAGTTATCTCAAGGTAAGCTGTTTGTTTTGCCATTATAGTGTTTTTTTTTTTCTTTCTCTAAATATAAGAGCTTTTGTAGCTTATCAACTGCATGTATAATTTGTATTTAGTTTAATTTTATTTTTCCCAACTACTGTGTGGGAATAAATGTGTCATTAATGACTTCCACTATCAAGTCAGTCCCAGACTCAACTCTACAAGGAAAGGTGCCCAATAAGTGAAATATCTTGAGAAAAGAGGCTCTTATTATTCTGTAGCATTTCCTTGATGTTTTTCTCAGTGTGGACCACCCCAACAGGAATGTATATACTGCTTCTGGAAAATGTGGGTCCTCATTAACATCTGCTCTGTCCAAAGCCCTAGAACCTGGTCTTCTCTGCTTTTTTGTTGTTGTTGGTGGTGGTCATGGGGCTTGAACTGGGCCTGGACATTGTCCCTAAGCTCTTTTGCTCAAAGCTACCCCTCTACCATTTTGAGCCACAACACCACTTTCATTGTTTTTGAGTGGTTAATTGGAGGTAAGAGTCTCACAGGGACTTTTCTGCCCAAGCTAACTTCAAACCACAATGTACAGATCTCAGCCTCCTCAGTAGCTTGGATTACAGGTGTGAGCCACTGGCACCCAGCTTCTCTGCATTTTAATAGGCTTCCAAAAAGGTGCTGTTTCTTTCCTTTAAAAAAAAAAAGAATAAATTTTTTCCAGCCAGTCTTATCACCTTCAGAAGTATAAAGACCCCATATCTGTTGAATCCGCTGCTTAAGTTTGGTATGATTGGCTTATTGTTTCATATGTTTCATTTAAGCAACGTAAAGTCACTTAGAAAGATGGGTTACTTTCAAAGATCCATTGGTTTATTTATTCAATGCCATATCAGGGTTTGAATTCAGGCGTACGCCTGCAATCCTAGCTATTTAGGAGATTAGGATCTGGAGGGTGAACAGTTTGTTGTTGTTTTTTCCTTTCAGTTGTGAGGCTTGATCTCAAGGCCTGGGCACTGTTCCTGAGCTCTTTTTGCTCAAGGCCAGCACTCTTAACATTTTGAGCCACAGTACCATTTCCAGTTTTCTAGTGGTTAATTGGAGATAAGAGTCTCTGTTTCTGGGTGCTGGTGGCTCGTGCCTCTAATTTTAGCTAGTTAGGAGGCTAGATCTGAGGATCACAGTTCAAAGCCCAAGCAAGAAAGTCTGTGAGGGCTGGGAAAGTGGCTCAGTGGTAGAACACTTGTCTTGCATGCCCAAGGCCCTGGGTTCGATTCCTCAGCACCACATAAGAAAAAAGAAAAAAGCCGGAAGTGGCACTGTGGCTCAAGTGGTAGAGTGCTAGCCTTGAGCTGAAGAGCTGAGGGATAGTGCCCAGGCCTAGAGTTAAGACCCACGACTGGACAAAAAAAAAAAAAAAAGAAAAGAAAGTCTGTGAGACTCTTTCCCAATTAACCACTAGAAAACCAGATATGGCTGTGTGGCTCAAAGTGGTACAGTACTAACTTTGCATGAAAAGCTCACGATATTGCCCAGGCCCTGAATTTAAGCCCCACAACCAACACAACAAAAAAGTCTCAATGGACTTTCCAACCTAGGCTGGCTTTTTTTGGGGGTGGGGGGGCTTGAACTCGGCTTGAGTGCTGTCCCTCAGCTCTACCACTTGAGCTACAGCGCCACTTCCAATTTTCTGGTGATTTATTGGAGATAAGAGTTTCACAGGGGCTGGGAAGATGGCTCAGTGGTAGAGTGCTTGCCTTGCATGCATGAGGCCCTGGGTTCGATTCCTCAGCACCACATAAGAAAAAAAGCCGGAAGTGGTGCTATAGCTCAAGTGGTAGAGCGCTAGCCTTGAGCTGAAGAGCTGAGGGACAGCACCCAGACCCAGAGTTCAGGCCCCATGACTAGAACCAAAAAAAAAAAAAAGAGTTTCACAGACTTTCCTGCCCGGGCTGGCTTTGAACCGAGATCCTCAGATCTCAGCCTCCTGAGTAGCTAGGATTACAGGCGTGAGCTACCGGCACCCGGCTCCTAGGCTGGCTTTGAACCATGCTCCTCAGATCTCAGCCTCCTTAGTAGCTAGGATTACAAGCATGAGCTACCAGTACCTGGCTGAAGATCACAGTTTGAAGGTAGCTGGGGCAGAAAAATCTGAGACATTCCATCTCTAGTTAACCAGCAAAATACCTAACTAGAGGTGTGGCTGATAGAGAGCTAGCATTGAAAGGTAAAGCTGAGTGAGTGAACGTAGCCCTGAAGTTCACAATATTGACAAATACAAATAAAATACATGGGGGTGGGGGTGAGGGGGTGAATGTGACTAGCTTCTATGAAGAAAAATACAAAATGTAGTAGAGGGCCATAAAAGAAGTAAGTAGTAAGAGAAGTATCTATTTCCCTATAAAAGATTTGATAATGATAAGTCATGTTTATTCTACCATCAATTAGTACAAGTGAAATTCAACAGAAAGATTGTCTTTAAAATAAACATAGACTGAATTTACTTTAGAAAGCTTCAATAAATGGTCTGTTGCCTAGGAGAACTGTTGGTGGCACATGCCATCATCCTAGTTATTCAGGAGCCTGAGATCAAAGCCAGTCCTGGCTGGAAAGTTTGTGAGACACCAACAAGAAGCCAGAAGTGGAGCTATGGCTCAAAAGGCTAAAGGACAGCACTCAGGCTCTGAGTTCAAGTATCTGCATACACGCATGTGCGTACAAACATATCAATGTTTGACTTACACTACTCAGAAACATAAAATATATCATAAATACTCTACTAGTTAACAATGATAAATAAAAGTAAAAATAAACATGGAGGGCTGGGAATGTGGCTTAGTGATAAGAGTGCTTGCGTAGCATGCATGAAGCCCTGGACTCGATTCCTCAGTACCACATAAACAGAAGAAGCCAGAAGTGATGCTATGGCTTAAGTGGTACAGTGATAACTTTGAGCAAAAGAAGCCCAGGGACAATGCCCAGGCCCTGGGTTCAAGCCCCAGGACTGGCAAATAAAAATAATGTATAATAGGACATATGGGGGGGGGTAATGAGCTTACCTAATAAAATATATGTTTATAAATGAGTTTGAGCTGGGTGCAGTGGCTTTGTGTAATCCTAGTTAGTTAGGAGACTGAGATCTGAGGATTGCTGTTCAAAGCCAGCCTGGGCAAGAAAGTCCATGAGACTTCTATCTCCAGTTACCAAAAAGCCAAAAGTGGAGCTATTGTTCAAAGTGGTGGAGCACTAACTAGTCTAGCCTTGAGCAGAAAAGCTGAGGGATGGCGCCCAGGCCCTGAGTTCAAGCCACAAACAGGCACCAAAAAGGGAAAAAAAAAAGTTTAAGAATAAATTTTAATAAATGAAACAAAATGGAATAAAGAGAAACTGTTCCATTAATAGGAATTTAAGGGCTTAGAGTTAGCTCAGTGGTAGAATGCTTGCTTAACCTGCATGTGTGAGACCCTAGGTTCAACCCCTGTACTAAAAATTAATAATAATAATTTAGTTGAAGATACTCTTTTTTGTGGGTCGTGGGCCTGAACTCTGGGCCTGAGCGCTGACCCCCAGCTCTTCAGCTCAAGGCTAGCACTCTACCACTCGAGCCACAGCACCACTTCTGGCCTTTTCTGCTTATGTGGTGCTGAGGGATTGAACCCAGGGCCTCATGCATGCAAGGCAAGCACTCTACAACTGAGCTACCTTCCCAGCCCTTGAAGATACTCTTTTTAAATTAGTGGAGAAAGACTAGCTATTCCAGGAAGTGGTTTGGGGGAAGAAAACTACCTGATGAGTTAGGAAGAATAACTATAATTCTTTTTCTCACCCTGAGCACTTTGAAGAATTTTTATTTTAGTTATGTTTTGTCAGTTAGGTTAGGGGCTTACACTCTGGGCCTGGGTGCTGTCCCTCAGCTCTTCAGCTCAAGGCTAGTATTCTACCTCTTGAGTCACAGTGCCCACTTCCAGTTTTTTGTTTATGTGGTGCTGAGAAATGGAACCTAGGGCCTCATGCATGCTAGACAAGCACTCTACCACTGAGCCACCTTCCCATCCGAGCCTGTATTTAATATCACCAACTTACATTTGTGGAGTATCACAAAATGGAAGTTAAACCTTTAACTTTTAACTTTGGTTAAGAACAGAAAGAGTGGGGCAGGGAAGGTGGCTCAGTGGGAGAGCGCTTGCCTTGCATGCCTGAGGCCCTGGGTTCGATTCCTCAGCACCACATAAGCAAAAAGAAAAAAGCCAGAAGTGGTGTTGTGGCTCAAGTGGTAGAGTGCTAGCCTGGAGCTGAAGAGCTGAGGGACAGTGCCCAGGCCCAGAGTTCAGGCCCCACGACCAGACCCCCCCCAAAAAAAGAACAGAAAGAGTAACTGAATGGTGCTTTGTGTTCAAGTACTCTGGGTTTGTTCCTACTACATCACATGTATTTCTCTAATGATAGTAAATTGCCATAGTGATTAGTAATAGTAGAAGAATTTAAAGGCTGGATGCTGGTGGCCTATACCTGTAATACTAGCTACTCAGGAGGCTGAGATCTGAGGATGGTGGTCCAAAGCCAGGTAAGAAAGTCCCTGAAACTCTTATCTCTATTAACTACCAGAAAACCGGAAGTGGCACTTTGGCTCAGAGTGGTAAAGCACTAGTCAATGAGCAAAAGAGCTCAAGGACAGTGCCTGGGCTTTGAGATCAAGCCACATAACCAACAGAAAAAAGAATTTAAAGCTGGGTGCTGGTGGCTCATGTTTAGAATCCTACTTAGCTATTCAGGAGTTTTGAGATAAAAGGACTGCAGTTCAAAGCCAACTTGGGCAGGAAAGCTTGTGAGACTATCTCCAATTAGCTACCAAAATAGCCAGCCAGAAGTGGAGCTGTGGCTTAAATGGTAGAGTGGCTAGCCTTGAGCAAAAAAAAGCCCAGGAACAACATCCAGGCCCTGAGTTCAAGGCCCAGGACCTGAACCAAAAAAAAAGAATTTAACTATACAATAAAGGAATTTGTTAATTGATCTGATTACCCCATTGGGGTCCGGTTGTGGGGCCTGAACTCTGGGCCTGGGCGCTGTACCTCAGCTCTTCAGCTCAAAACTAGTACTCTACCACTTGGCCACAGGGCCACTTCCGGCTTTTTTTTTTTTCTTTTTGCTTATGTGGTGCTGAGGAATCAAACCCAGGGCCTCAGGCATGCAAGGTAAGCACTCTACCACTGAGCCACCTTCCCAGCCCTTCCATAATATTTCTGAGTAACAGAATCTTTTCTCAAAATATGGGTGTTTTGTAGGATATATATATGGATAATATATAATTTTTATTGTAGGTTGTATGGTTTGAACTCTGAGCCAGGGTGCTGTCCCTGAGCTGATCTTCAGCTCAAGGCAAGCGCTCTACCATTTGACCCATAGTGCCAATTCTAGTTTTCTGGTGGTTAATTGGAGATAAATGTCTCATGGACTTCCTTGCCCAGGCTGGCTTTGAACCATGATCCTCAGATCTCAGTCTCCTTAGTAGCTAGGATTAGAGATGTGAGCCACCAGTGCCTGGGTTTTTTGTTTGTTTGTTTTTGCCAATCCTCTGGCTTGAACTCAGAGCCTGGGCACTGAACCTGAGCCTTTCTGTGATCAAGGGTAGCAGCACTCTACCACTTGAGCCACAGCACCACTTCCAGCCTTTTCTGTTTATGTGATACTGAGGAATCAAACCCAGAGCTTCATGCAAGCTAGGCAAGCACTCTACTACTAAGCACACAAGAGATAATGAGACCCTGAGTTCAAATCCCAGTACCAACAAACATGTAAAAAAACTTATCTCCTTAAATCGTGTGTGGTGTGACATATCTGCACTCTCAGCACTGAGAAGGCTGAGGCAGCAGGATCATAGAGTCCACTTAAGTTCAGAGTAAACCTGGGCAACGTAGTGAGATCCATACCCCATCTCAAAAAAACAAAACAAAACAAAAAAAAAACTTCAAAGCAAAGGAGTTTAAGCTTTGTAATCCCAGCTACTTAGGAGGTAGAGATCACAATGTGGAGGCCAGCCTAGGCAAAAAGTTAAAAAAATCCCCATGTCAACTATTTTTCAAAAGGCTGGGCATGGATTTCACACACTTGTCATCCTAGCTATATGAGGAATAAATAGGATCAGGTAGAATGGAAGATTGTATTTTAAGCTATAAAAAGAAAGGGAAGGGGAAGAAAGAAACAATAAATGATTATAAAATGATTTCTTGAAAGTCAAAATTTATTCAAAACCATGACTTATTGCTTTAAAAATCAGCGGAAAGGGCTGGGGATGTGGCTTAGTGGTAGTGATTGCCTTGCATGCATGAAGCCCTAGGTTTGATTCCTCAGTACCACATAAACAAACCTGGAAGTGGGCGCTGTGGCTTTAGCCTTGAGCACAGAGAGGCTCATGTACGGTGCCCAGGCCCTGAGTTTAAGCTCCAGGACCAGGCCCTCCCCCCACCCCCAAAAAATTGGTGGAAAAAGCATTTCTTTTAATGATAACTTAATTATCAGGGTTGTCATGGTAACTACAGTTTTTGACTTCAAGTGATTTTTTTTCCCCCCATTCTGGAAATGCATACTTTTGTGACTATATACTTTAGTAAACTTGGGGAACATTGCTAATAAATTGTCCATGGAAATCAATGGCATCAGAACTCAATGATTCAGCAGTTGTTGGGAGACTGCAAATGCTTGCAGTAGCATATCGGGGGGATCTTTGTGCATAAAATGAGCGTAATTTTTAACACCATGTTACATATCATGTAATAAGAGTTCTCTGAGCGGACACGTACAGCAAACATTGTAAGGGCAAAACGTGATAGAGTGACTTGCATTCTTCAGTGCACAGTGAGTAGGCCCTGATACAGAAGAAAAATGAAATGTGTCAGCACAAACTTCAAATTAAAGCAAAGCTTGTCAAGAGATTGTAAAAATCGTAAAGAATGCCAATGGCTGCCATCTGGCTATCTAAATTTTTTTGATATTTTTATTTATTTTCCCAGTCTATTGTGTGTTAAGATCCATTTCCCTCACTTTCCTCCTCCTTTATTGTTTTGTGATGGAATTCAGCAAGAGTTCCTGCTGGGAGTCACCTACAGAAAATACTAGAAATTGAAATGTGTCTATATACTCTTGTTATTGGGGGGGATGCCTCCATTTGAGTGTTTACAAATGTGATCATTGATATTAATAGGGAACAGCATATGTCAGTTCTTTGAAAAACCATTCTATTTGGTAAAACGCATAATGTGGTGGTAGATATTTTTGTTTGCTTGGTTTGATTTTGAGGGTTTTGTTTTTTGTGTTTTGGGTGTTTTACTTTTTTTTTTTTTTGGACAGGTTAAGGACTAGGCCATTAAGGACAATCCTAGGTTAAAACTGATCAAATTTGTGCTGAGTTTGATTTTTTTTTCCAGCCTAGATTATTTTGAAATCCCCGATTAGGATAGTTTCTTATCTTTTGGTTACATTTTAGGTCGTTCAAGCCCTCAGTTAGACCCTTTGAGAAAAAGTCCAACCATGGAACAAGCAGTACAGACCGCCTCGGCCCACTTACCTACTCCAGCACCTGTTGGGAGAAGGAGCCCTGTATCAACCAGGCCTTTGCCATCTACCAGCCAAAAAGCAATAGAGAATCAAGAGCACAGGCGAGGTAGAGCTTGAGCTGTTTACTCTTCCTTAATTGACTCATCAACATTTTCCACTCTCCCTATTTTCATTTAGAGAATTTGCTTTCTGTGAATGATCCTGAAAGGATTATATAGAACAATTTCATAGATTGTTTAGGGGCTGGGAATGTAGCTCAGATGTACAGCACTTACCTAGCAGGCATGCAACCCTGGGTTCAATTCCCAGCACCACAAAAAAGAGAGAAAGGGAATTTTTTTTTTTTAAACCAGGAATGATGGTGCATACTTGTAATCCCAGCACTTTAGTAGGCTGAGGTGGGAGGATTATGAGTTTAAGACCAGCCTAGGCTTTATAGCAAGAAGCAAGACCCTGTCTCCAACAAAAGCATTTGATTCAAGTGATGATGGGGATTTAGTTTTGGGAACTTAAGTTTTGTTTGGTAGTGTCTCCCTCCACCCCTCATTTCAGACAAAAATAGAAGTTTTTATTATCCTTGATTAATTTGTCCCTTTGGATGTTTCCTTGTACAGCTGAAGTACACAAAGTGTCAAGGCCAGAAAATGAACAACTCAGAAATGACAGCAAGAGACAAGTAGGTAAGTTACTTAGATCCAAAATAAATCCTTTCCGGGCAAGGTGGCTCATGCCTGTAATCCTAGCTACTCAGGAGGCTGATATTTGAGGATCCCAGTTCAAAGCCAGCCCTGGCAGGAAAGTACATGAGACTCTTATCTCCAGTAAACCACTCAGAAAATAGGAAGTGGTGCTTTGGCTCAAGTGGTAGAGCGCTCACCTTGAGCTGAAGAGCTGAGGGACTAGTGCCTAGGCCCAGAGTTCAAGGCCCACGGCCAACAACAACAACAAAAATATCCTGTACTTCTCAATAGGAAAGTTATTTTAAACTGCAACATATATGAAATGAAAGGTGAAGATTACTGACTAAAGAACTAACAGGCTGGGCTGGGAAGTTGGCTCAGTGGTAGAGTGCTTGCCTCGCATGCATGAGGTCCTGGGAATTCCTCAGCATCATATAAGCAGAAAAAAGCCAGAAGTGGTGCTGTGGCTCAAGTGGTAGAGCACTAGCCTTGAGCTGAAGAACTGAGGGACAGTGTCAGCCCACACGTCCGACCAAAAAAAAAAAAAAACCTAACACTAGGCGCTGGTGGCTCACACCTGTAATCCTAGCTACTCAGGAGGCTGAGATCTGAAGATCATGGTTCAGAGCCAGCCTGGACAGGAAAGTCTGTGAGACTGTTATCTCCAATAAACCACTAGAAAACTGGAAGTGGCGCTGTGGCTCAAGTGGTAGAGCACTTGCCTTGAGCTGGAGAGCTGAGGGACAGCGCCCAGGCCCAGAATTCAAGCCCCACATGGACAAAAAAATAAAGAATTAACAGTGGTATGGATCTCTCCACGTGGTCAGATCCTGTGGATCTGTGCATAATAAAGACAGCATAATAAGAGGGTTTTTTGTTTTTGTTTTTAATAATGTTCTGGAGAAAAATACTTGGTGATGAGTTGTGTTTAGTATGCTCTTGAATGTTACTGGCGAGTAGTGTTGCATTTATTCACGTGATGGCTCTATGGCTTCTATTTTGTGGTTTTGTTTTGTAGCATCATAAAATTGGTACTTGTTTTCCATGTCTTGTGAATGGAAACATTTGTTTGGTAATCTATAGCATCAAACAGCCATTTTATTAATTCCAAATCTATTAATAGAAAACAAATTACAAATATTTTTGTGCCAGCATTAGGATTCAAACAGCTGTTGCTCTACCATTTGAGCCATATATCTGGCATTTTGCTAGTTAATTGGAAATGGAGTTTCACAGATTTTCTTTCCAGGCTGACTTTGTTTTTTTTTTTTTTGTTTTTTTTTGAGGGGGCCGGTCGTGGGGCCTGAACTCTGGGCCTGGGCGCTGTCCCTCAGCTCTTCAGCTCAAGGCTAGCACTCTACCATTGAGCCACAGCGCCACTTCCGGCTTTTTTTCTTTTTGCTTATGTGGCGCTGAGGAATCGAACCCAGGGCCTCAAGCATGCAAGGCAAGCGCTCTACCACTGAGCCACCTTCCCGGTCCTCCAGGCTGACATTGAACAGGAACCCTCTAATACTTAGCATCTTAAGTAGAGCAGTAAGCACTAGCTACAAATTATGATTTAATACTTCCAAATTAAAGGGGGGGAAAAAGGGCAATGTATAAATTTAGATGATTGGAAAGTAACTGTCTTTTGTCTCTGTTTACTCACATAGTTCCAAGTGCTCCTTCAGCTCCAAGAAGAGGGCGTGGGGGCCACCGAGGTGGCAGGGGAAGATTTGGCATTCGGCGAGACAGTCCGATGAAATTTGAGAAAGACTTTGACTTTGAAAGTGCAAATGCACAATTTAACAAGGAGGAGATTGACAGAGAGTTTCATAATAAACTTAAATTGAAAGGTAAACTTCCATTTTTCTACTCAGAAACTAATTTGATCTGTGAATTAAAGATGCTTTATACATTAGTTGTCTTACTTAGACTTTTATCATGTGTGCTTGTTTTTTTATTAGAAGATAAACTCGAGAAGCAAGAGAAACCTGTAAATGGGGAAGATAAAGGAGACTCAGGAGTAGACACCCAAAACAGTGAAGGAAATGTTGATGAAGAAGACCCACTTGGACCTAATTGCTATTATGACAAAACTAAGTCCTTCTTTGATAATATTTCTTGCGATGATAATAGGTACAGTCTTTTAAATTGCCCTCCTCTGAAATGTTTGAAGTATAGTTATTTCATATAAATTCATATGGCCTAATGATTGCTTAAAAATACCTGTATTCTGGCCATGTACCAGTTGTTGCTAGCTCCTCAGGAGGCTGAGATCTGAGGATTGCAGTTTGAAGTCAGCCTGGTTAAGAAAGTCCATCAGACTCTTATCTCTGTAATTAATCTCCAAAAAGCCAGAAATGGAGCTGTGGTGGCTCAAGTGGTAGAATACTAGCATTGAGCAGAAAAGCTCAAGGATACCCCAGACCCTGAGTTCAAGTCCCTAGGGCCAACACCAAATAGATTTAGAGAGAGAGTGTACAAGGGCTTACCTAGCATATATAATAAGGCTTGGGAGATCAATCTCTAGCACCACAAAAAAGAAAAGGTGGGGCTGGGAATGTGGCTTAGTGGTAGTATTTGCCTAGCATACATGAAGCCCAAGGGCTTCAGAAAAGGCCAGATTTGAGTGGTAGAGTACTAGCCTTGAACAAAAGAAGCTCAGGGACAGTGCGCAGACCCGGAGTTCAAGCCCTAGGACTGGCAAAAACAAAGGAAGAAAACAAATAGCTATATATTTTGTCTTAGGGATGTATTCATATTTGCATATTAGTAATTAAAACAAAGTATTCATGTAAAATATCAGAGCTTTTCCTTTACCTTCTCTCCTGTAACTCAAATGAAGCCAGAACCTAAAGAAGCTTGCCCTATTGTAGTATGCATACATCAAGAAATTGTGGGGTCATTGTGAGGTGGGGGGATCCAGCATAATGAGCTGAGTTCTTTAAGATGTATTGCTTACTTTATATCATCTTTATCCTGGGTGCAATATGGTGACCCCTAGTGGCAGTTGTTTTCTTCAGCTTTGACAAAAATGGCAAAGATGATTATGAGTCCTGCAATTATTTAGGTTGGATGCTAACGAAAATTCAGAAAATGGCTGTGTTAACTGGCATTAGGCTTACGATGTGGTTTTCCTGCCAGGTTTTGCCCTCTTTTCCAATGGGGCAGGGTAGAATCAGCTGCAAATCCCCTTATATCTGAGTAACCATTGTATTGATGCTTTTCTCATATTTCTTTTTTTTTCTTTTTTTTACCCCCCTCCCCTTTTCTCATATTTCTGTTATGTCAACTATTTTTGCACAGAACTACTCTCAATAATGTTTTCTCATGAAACATAACAGTATTATAGGGATAAACTGAATTTGTATGCCATGTACAGCTTGTGACCATGCAGGTGAAAAGCCTTTTCTGTTTGTTTTTGAGGGTGAGTCCTGGGGCTTGAACTGAGGCACTGTCCCATGCTCAAAGCTTTTATGCTCTACCACTTGAGCCAGGCCTCCAGCTCCAGTTCTAGGTTTTTGCTGATTGACTCAGATTTGTCTGTCCACACTGGCTTTGACCAGTGGTCCTCAGGTATCAGCTTCTTCTTCTTTTTTTTTTTTTTTAGGGTCGTGGGGTCTGAACTCTGGGTCTGGGTGCTGTCCCTCAGCTCTTCAGCTCAGGGCTAGTGCTCTACCACTTGAGCCACAGTACCACTTCCGGCTCTTTTCTTTTTGTTTATGTGGTGCTGAGGAATCAAACCCAGGGCCTCAGGCATGCAAGGCAAGCACTCTACCACTGAGCCACCTTCCCAGCCCTGAGCTTCTTCTGAGTTAGCTAGGATTAATTTGTTACATGTGTGTGTTGAAAAATACTCCTTTAAACCTGATATGCTGATGGTCATTTGCTTTTATAATAGAGAAAGGAGACCAACCTGGGCTGAAGAGAGGAGGTTAAATGCTGAGACATTTGGAATCCCACTTCGTCCAAACCGTGGCCGAGGAGGCTACAGAGGCAGAGGAGGTCTTGGTTTCCGTGGTAGCAGAGGGCGTGGTGGTGGCAGAGGAGGGACCTTTACTGCCCCTAGAGGATTTCGTGGTGGATTCAGAGGAGGCCGTGGGGGCCGAGAGTTTGCAGATTTTGAATATAGGGTAAGTATTGTGCTTTAGACTTGGCATTCAGCCTGCTTTTATCTAATTTGGGTAGTGGTGGTTCTTTCTTTTTCCTTTTCCTCTTTTTCTTTTTCCTTTTCCTGGTCATGGGGCCTGAACTCTGAGCCTGGGCACTGTCCCTCAGCTCTTCAACTCAAAGCTAGTGCTCTACCACTTGAGCCACAGTGCCAACTTCCAACTTTTTTTGCTGATGTGGTGCTGAAGAATCGAACCCAGGGCCTCATGCATACAAGGCAAGCACTCTACCACTGAGCCACCTTCCTAACCCATATTTTTGTTTTTAACTGTTGTTTTCCACTGAAGAAATAAAAGAAGCAAATCTGGTGCTCCCCCTCTCTTTTTTAAAATTAGAGAACCATGGTTTTAGCTTTTATAGACTGATTAAAATCTCCCCTCTTTCCAAGCAAGAGAATCTATTATTTTGTTTTTGTTTTTGTTTTTTTGTGCTAGTACTGGGGCTTAAAGTTAGGGCCTTATGTTCTCCCTTGTTTTTTTTCGCTAAACATGGAAAAAACTATTGGGGACTAAAATTAAGGATCAGGGCTCTTTTTACATGGGAAGGATGACTAATGACATTATACAAAAGGAAAGGACTGTATACCTTTATTTCATATTACAAAATTTTCTCGCCAGGTGCTGGTGGCTCATGCCCATAATCCTAGCTACTCAGGAGGCTGAGATCTGAGGATCACAGTTCAAATCCAGCCTGGGCAGGAAAGTCCATGAGACTCTTACCCCCAATAAACCACCAGAATATCATAAGTGGTGCTGTGGCTCAAGTGGTAGAGCACTGGCCTTGAGCTAAATAGCTGAGGGACAGTGCCCAGGCCCAGAGTTCAAGCCCCACGACCAACAACAACAACAACAAAATTCTCAGCTAGATGCCAGCTGCATGCCTAAATCCTACCTACTCAGGAGGCTGAGATCTGAGGATTACAGCTTGCAGCCATCCGAGGCAAGAAAGTTTTTTTTGTTTCTTTTTTCTTTTTGGTCCAGTCGTGCGGCCTGAACTCTGGACTGGGCGCTGTCCCTCAGCTCTTCAGTTCAAGGCTAGTGCTCTACTGCTTGAGCCACAGCATCACTTCCAGCTTTTTCTGCTTATGTGTTACTGAGGAATCGAACCCAGGGCCTCATGAGTGCAAGGCAAGCACTCTACCATTGAGATACCTTCCCAGCCCCGTAAAGTTTCTTATCTCCAATAAATTACCAAAGAAAAGCCAGAAGTGGAGCTGTGGATGAAGCTCAGGACCAGCATTTAAAAAAGTTTTTTTTTTCTTAAAATAGTCTAGCCAGGCACATATTTGTAAGGTAGGAATCAATCTTTTTTCCAGAGATGTTAAGTACCTTGTCCAAGGTCACATAGCTAATAAGTGGTAGTTCCTGAGTCATCACTGTTAATTTAGATTTGTGGAAATTCATTACATTTGTTACTTCACCATGGTCTTGAATGTTAAGATACATTTTCTTTATTATATGATTCAATATGGCTCTCCTGAACCCCTTTATCTTTCTCCCCTTTTGTCTTTTTTTTTTTTTTTTTTTACCTTTCAGAAAACCACAGCTTTTGGACCCTAAAAGGTCTGGATTGGTCGTACTGCTTTCTGAAAGGTAAAAAAATAGATATAGATAAGTAAAATAAATGAACAGATGAGAGATGTTGGCTTTTGTGGGGGACAGAGAGCAGGTTTGTCTCTAGCTCATTTATTTCCATACCAGCTTATACTGTGCCATATGTATTTTAGTTTAGTAACATAAGACAAGTGGCTTGCTGTTGTGTACTCAGGTGGAGCAGCAAGTCTTTCACCCAGAAATTGTGTTTTTATAACAAACAGTTGAGATGACTAACAGCAGTAAAAAATAAATAAATAAAAAATAAATTAATTAAAAATAAGAATTCAGGATTGCTGTTCAAAGCCAGCCCTGGCAGGAAAGTCCATGAGACTCTTATCTCCAATAAATCACTAGAAAACAGAAGTGGCACTGTGGCTCAAGTGGTAGAGCACTCGCCTTGAGCTGAAGAGCTGAGGGACAGTGCCCAGGCCCAGAGTTCAGGCCCCACAATCCCCCCCCCCAAAAAAAAAAAAAAGTCTTACATTGGCCCTAAATCAAGGCCGGCAGTTTGCTGAAGCTGTTGGTTTTAAGCAGGAGCCTAAAGTAATGTCTTTCTTGGTCTGTTGGCCATTTCAGATCTTTGGAAATGTAAAGGTCAATTCACTAGAAAGAAACATTTGATGGGGAGAGAGAAGAGTCTCAGAGATTTTCTTGCCCAGGCTGCCTTTGAGCCGAGATTGTCAGAGCTCAGCCTCCTGAGTAGCTAGCTGGTGAGCCACTAGTGCCTGGCAAAGGCAGGTTTTTATTGTTGTTTGTTTGTTTGGTCAGCCATGGGGCTTGAACTCTGGGCCTGGGCGCTGTCCCTCAGTTCTTCAGCTCAAGGCTAGCGCTCTACCACTTGAGCCATAGCATCACTTCTAGCCTATTCTGTTTGTGGTGCTGAGAAATTGAACCTAGGGCCTTATGCATGCAAGGCAAGCACTCTACCACTGAGCCACATTCCCAGTCCCAAAAGATAGGGTTTTTATGCTGTTGATTTTAAGAGTACTTGGTGTGCTGGGTGCCAGTGGCTCATGCCTATAATCCTAGCTACTCAGGAGGCAGAGGTATGAGGATTGAAGTTGGAAGCCAGCCTGAGTGGCAAAGTCTTTAAGACTCTTACCTCCGATTTAACACCAAAAGCCAGAAGTAGAACTGTAGCGCATATGGTGGAGCACTGTCCTTGAACACAAAAACTCAAAAGAGACACTTTGGTGAGAAGTTTTGTGTCACTTTTTTAAATTAGTAGACTCAATGGGATAAATATAGTACCATTTAATGTTCACATAATAAAGGAAGTGGGAGATAGGAAATAAGTCTGAGAGGAGGAAGCAGGATGCAAAGAATGAAGGAAGAAGTAACTGGTCAAGAAACCCTGGGCATTAGTTGTCACCGCCTTGTGGAACCTTTTAAATTTCAGAAAATTCAAAAAGTAAAAATGGATGGATATTGCAAGTACTAGATACAGATAAATAATTACTAGAATCTCCAAAATAGTGAGTACACGTGTGTCTCTGTGGGGACTGGAAGATGTTTCTGGGTGGGGAAGTTTAGAAAGTTTAGAAGTCAGCTAGGCGCTGGTGGCTCAGGCCTGTAATCCTAGCTACTCAGGAGGCTGAGATCTGAGGATCGCGGTTCAAAGCCAGCCTGGGCAGGAAAGACTGTGAGACTCCTATCTCCAATAAGCCACCAGAAAACCGGAAGTGGCGCTGTAGCTCAAGTGGTAGAGCGCTCGCCTTGAGCTGAAGAGCTGAGGGACAGCGCCCAGGCCCAGAGTTCAAGCCCCATGACTGACAAAAAAAAAAAAAAAGTTTAGAAGTCAGGAAAGTATTTTCCATGAAAGTCAAAAGAAGGCAAAGTATAAAATATGTGAAAGAAGTTCTAGAACATTGACTAGCACATTTTTTCCTTTTTTTTTTTTTAGAAAGACAACAAAGTTGCTGCATAGTCTACAAACAAGTCTTTGAAAATAGGTGAATTTCTAGCTCTTCATGTTCCTGAAAATTGGTTTCTGTCTTTGTGAAGAATGAAGAAGTGAATTTGCTGTATATTTGTCACCAGCACTGGGTTTTGTTTATTTTCTGCTTAATTTCAAAGATAAAATGCAGTTACTTTTTTGGAGGGTGGGGGGTGGGAGGCGGGCAGCTCATCTTTTAAAAAAAATGAGCGTTAAATATATTTGGAACAGGAAAATGTTAAGTAACTTTTTATGTATAGTTAAACTAAAGCTGTACTTCAGTGGGACTTACAGTTTTTGTTTTTTTGTTTTTCATCACTGAAAAGATTTTTCTTATCACTGAATTGTATTTGGCAATTATTGCAAGTTGCCCGCAGACAGGGCCGTGATACTGTGTTTGGAGCCACCGAAGGGTTTTGTGTGTGTGTACGTGTGTGTACGTGTGTGTGTGTATGTGTGAGTGTGTGTGAGTGTGACTTTCTGGAAATCCTATAATGAGGTAGCTTATTTCGTCGATTAATTAGGGTGCTGGATGGTAGAGAATTTTGTCAGTCAACTATGTATACACAGTAAATACTGTTTCTTAGGCAAAGGTAACTTTTTTATATAGTTGTAAAATTCCATTATATTCCATTGCCAAAGAAACATTAAGAACTTTGTATAGCTGTATAAAAAGCAACTAATTTTTTAAAGAATAAACATTTTAAAGTCAGCAACCATACTGTGTCCTTGCAGAAATCGATGAGCTGAGGAGCAGGGTCATGGTGGCTCTTCTTTCTCTGAGCTTTCCAGGCTACAGTTTTTGATTTCTTTTTTTAATGTTTGGAACATAAATAAAGATTTGATACGTTCTTCCATTATCTAAAAAGGATAAATTGTTCCTGCTCCATGTCAGAACTTCTTTTTGTAGCAAATGGCATACCACAGGATTTGTCCAAATAGATATTTTCAGAATATGAATGTAAATAATCATAGATAAGAATGTACTAGCTGTATTTTCAAATAAGTAATCCTCCCCTCTTTTTTTAAAAAAACACATTAAAATTAGGCATCAGCCTATTCTTGGACATGACTGTAATTTTTTTTTCAATAACATTGACTCATTCCATTATGTTTTAAGAGGATTCAGAATGTTCAAAATTATTTTGGCAACATTATCATTGGCATTGGTCCTTGGGCCTGTGACCCACAAATGACTCAATATAGAGTTCACGGCTAATTATAAATTACTGGTCAAACCTTTTGATATTTAAGCTGTAGTAGGAAAAAAAAATCTGGCCACTTTTGTTTTTTTTTATGAAGGCCATGGAATAAAGGGATCCAAAGATTTAAATATTTTTATCTTTTTGTTGTTGCTGTTGATCTTTGTCCTTACAATATTCAGGAGTGAGTGACAAAGATGTGAGAAAAACTGCACTGTAGGAGAATGGGAGGATTGAAACATGGTTGATCGTTTTCATTTTCTATCTTTTGTATAGATCTACAAGGAAATGTTTTGTAATTCGGTTTCACTACTAAGATCCAGTACTCAGCAGCTGTAGTTTAGGGAATACTGTTGAGTACCACTTGCTTGCATGTTATCAACAAAACCTTTTGGAGGACCCCAGAAATCTGAGATTAACACATCTTGGAGGTATTTTGAGCATCCAAGCAAGAGCTATGACAACATCTGTGTAGACTGAGATATGTCCCAGGCTGATTTCTAGGAGAAAAACTGTAGATACCGATTTCACTTGCTCTGGAAGTCTGAGCTCACAGGTCCCCTAGCTCTGGTCACTGGCTGGGGCATCTGTTGTCTGGGTAAAAACTGGCAGCCTGGCATACCTGCAGTGCACCTTACTATATTAAAGCAAGGTTTTTATTCTAAAGCAGAATAAAACTATTGAAGAAAAAAAATGTTTGTCAGAGTTCTTTCTCTTAGTTAACATTCTCTTCCAATAGTAATAAAATGAAAAGCACTTTTTTTTTTTTTGGTCGGTTGTGGGGCATGAACTCTGGGCTTGGGCGCTGTCCCTGCGCTCTTTCTGCTCAAAGTGAGCACTCTACCACTTTTGCCAAGCCATGTCCAGTTTTCTAGTGGTTTATTAGAGATAAGACTTGTCTCTCGGACTTTCCTGCCCAGGCTGGCTTTGAACCTTGATCCTCAGATCTCAGCCTCCTGAGTAGCTAGGATTATAGGCATGAGCCAATCAGAACTGTGTACTGGTGGCTTGTGCAGGTAATTCTGTCTACTGAGGAAGCTAAGATCTGGTTTGAGGCCAGCCTGGGAAGAAAAGTTTGCTCCACGCGATCTCCAAAATAATCAGCCAAAAGTTAGGCTGGGGTTGTGGCTCAAGTGGTAGAACAGCCTAGCAAGTGAGAGGGCCAGAATTAACATAATATGTTTATAGGCTGTAAGCACTGATTCTATTTATTTTTTTTGGGGGGGTGTCCGGTCGTAGGGCCTGAACTCTGGGCCTGGGCGCTGTCCCTCAGCTCTTCAGCTCAAGGCTAGCGCTCTACCACTTGAGCCACAGCACCACTTCTGGCTTTCTTTTCTTTTTCCTTATGTGGTGCTGAGGAATCAAACCCAGGGCCTCAGGTATGCAAGGCAAGCGCTCTACCACTGAGCCACCTTCCCAGCCCCCTGAATCTATTTTTAATTATGTCTTAAGGTTTATCATTGTATATATTTAGGGAAAGTCAAAAGTTCCTTTCTTCTTTCCTAAAGTTTGTGAAATGAAACTGAGCCAACCATGCACAGATGAAGCTACAACCTTAGTCCAAAACCTATCTCCTGCAGGTAAAGAGAGAAGATAGTATCTTGAGTTGAAGGTAGAGTGTTTGCCTAGTATATGTGAGGCTCTAGATTGAATCCTCAGCACAGCAGAAATGAAAAAGATGGCAGTGGTGGTGAAGATTGTAGTACCTAATGTGAGCTGTAAGAAAAGTGGCTCTCCATATAAACTGACGTTTAGGGGGTGTTGGAATGTGAGGGGTTAAGTGTTTGGGTCTTCACAAAAACCAGGGATTACTACTGGTATTTAAGATAAAGAACCAGTCTGGATGCTGGTGGTTCATGCTTGTAATCCTAGCTATTCAGGAAGCTAAAATCTGAGAATCTTGGTTTTAGTCAGCCTGGGCAGGAAAAGTCTGAGGGAATCTTATCTCCATTTACTACCAAAAAGCCAGAAATAGAGCTGTGGCTTAAGTGGTAGAGTGCTAGCCTTGAGTAAAAAACTTCAGGGACAATACCCAGACTCTGGGTTCTTCAAGCTCCTGAACTGGCACCAAATAAGAAAGGCTTTTGGTTTTAAAACATATCTTGCTCCAAGGCATGAAGTAGAACTCTGAATCTAATGTGGTTTCTGATTTTTGGTGATACAGGGCTGGAAGAAATTCCAGCTCTGTTCAGAGTTAATGAGCTTGGATGACAAATTCATTAAATTTGAATAGTGGTCATGTTGATTGTAAGTAAATGCTGTAAACAATCCTGATGTCTTAAGTTACAGTGTACAGTGAAACAGTAGCTTAGGGGGTAGGGGGAACAAACTTAAAAAAAAAATTGTCGGTCATGGGGTTGAACTCGGGCTGGGCGCTATCCCTGAGCTCTTGTGCTCAAATCTAGCACTCTACCACTTAAGCCACAGCACCACTTCTGGCCTTTTCTACATACTTTATTGGAGACAAGAGTCTCACAGACTTTCCTGCTTGGGCTGGCTTTGAACTGTGATTCTCAGATCTCAGCTTCCTGAGTAGAATTATAGGCATGAACCAGCAGCTCCCAGCCAGAATATTTTTTTGTGCCTGTAATGAGACTTGAACTCAGCCTGGGTGCTGTCCCTTCGCTTTTTCACTCAAGCTAATGCTCTGCCACAGCTTCACTTCTGGATTTTTTGTGATTAGTTCGAGATAAAAGCCTCACAGACTTCACTGTCTGGGCTGGCTTTGAATCTAGATCTTCAGACCTCAGCTGCCTGAGTAACTAGTATTACAGGCATGAGCCACCAGTGCTGAGCTAATGACCAGAGCATATTGGAGTTTGGTAATGAGACTCTAAATGGATGACTCATAGTCACTCCAGTTGAGCAGCCCAGAAACAACTTAAGAGCAGCCAGCAAAGGCACAGAAAATCTGGCCTTCCCCTCCAGCTGGAACAGTCTGGGTGTGAAGAAGGCCAAGTCTGGAGGGGTGAGGAAAGCATGGGTCTAGATGAGACTAACACATTCCACTGGTTGGCTTTTCCAGTCATTCTGGTACTGGGCACTGGAATCTGTTTACTACTCAGTGTATGAAGAGGCCCCCAGTCCTGCTGCTTACCTAGTCTACATAATTCTGCACTGTCAGCCTCACCGCACCACTGATGACCCTGCAAATGGGTGTGCAACTCATCCCCAACTCATCAGCAAGAAGCTTGAAGTGGAGGTGTGGGTCAAATGACAAGAGCTCCAGCTTGTGCAAAAAAAAGCCAAATGAGAGCACAAGGAAAGTCTGTGAGACTCATCCGGACACAGCCAGATGTGGCTCTAGTGGGAGAGCGACCAGCCTTGAGCAAAAAAGCTAAGGACAGCCCTCAGGCCCTGAGTTTATGTTTCAGTATCAGCACAAAAATGAATGAATGATAAGAACTGGTGTTCCTGTCATCTTAACCTGCAGCCCCTTTTTTGCATTGGTTATTTCCCAGGTAGGGTCTCCTCTTTATGCTCAGGTGGGCCTGAACTGTAATCTTACGCTTCCTTATATGACAGGATGGCAGGCACACATTGCTTAAACCAGTCTTTGCATTTTCCTGGTAGCTAGGATAAATGGTGTGCACAACCATACCCAGCTATTGGTTGAAATGAAGTCTCAAAAATAAGCTCTGGTTGGCATTGAACCTCAATTTCAACCTCCCCAGTAGCTAGGATTATAAATATGAACCACTAGGCCCTATATTTTGTTTACATAGTTTATCAACTACTGATCACATAATACAAAAATGTACTCTCCACTCCCAGCCACCTGTGTCCTTTTAATATGCTTCTCAAGATAACTGTCTATAGCTAGTATATAATCTTTGTTATGACTGAAATAAATAGTTTATTGAGAAGTACTGTTTCCTCTCTGCTTCACCCAAAAGGAAACCACTCTTTGGTTTATTTATAACTTTTTGTCCAGAAGTTTCCTGATTGGCTTTTGGCTGTGTGTGTATGTATCTGTCTGTATGTTTGTGTCTGTCCTGGGACTTGAATTCAGATAGTGGGTGCTGTCCCAGAGTTTTTTGCAAGGCATGCACTCTACCACTGAGCTACCTTCCCAGCCCTCCCAGAGTTTTTTGAGCTACAGCTTTACTTCTGGCTTTTTGCTTTATGGCAGATTGGAGATTGCTGCCTAGGTTGGCTTTGAACCATGATCCTCGGAACTCATCCTGAGCTAGGATTACAGACAGGCCTGAGCTGGTTCTTAGCTTTGAGTGGCTCTTTTTTTTTTTTTTGGTCTTGGGGCTTGAACTCTGGGCTTGGTCACTGTCCCTCAGCTCTTCAGTTCAAGGCCAGTGCTCTACCGCTTGAGCCACAGCGTCACTTCCGGTTTTCTAGTAGTTTATTGGAGGTAAGAGTCTCATAGACTTTCGTGTCTGGGCTGGCTTTGAACGGCGATTCTCAGATCTTAGCCTCCTGAGTAGTCTGATTGGCTTTTGATCTTTTTTTCCAGTCCTGAGGCTTGAACTCAGGGCCTGGGTACTGTCCCTGAGCTTCTTTTGCTCAAGGCTAGCATTCTACCACTTGAGCCACGGCGCCACTTCTGGCTTTTTCTGTTTACATTGTCCTGAGGAATAAAACTCAGCTCTTCATACATGCTAGGCAAGCACTCTACCAATAAGCCACATCCCCAGCCCCCAATCCTCTTTATATCATTTCTTTCTCCTCTGTCCTCTTAGTCTCCTTACATATTCTGTCACATCAGCTATTCCGCTATTGCATACTTTTTTTTTTTTTTTTGGTTGGTCATGGGGCTTGAACTCTGGGCCTAGATGCTGTCCCTGAGCTCTTCAGCTCAAGGGTAGTGCACTACCTCTTGAGTTACACCACTACTTCAGGTTTTCTGAGTGGTTTATTGGAGATAAGAATCTTGTGGACTTCCTGCCCAGGCTGGCTTGGAACCACAATCCTCAGGTCTCAGACTACTGAGTAGCTAGAATTTCAAGTGTGAGCCACCAGTGCCTGGCTATTCCATACTTTTTATATTCCTTAAACTGACTTTATACCTTTGACCAATTCTTCTTGGGACTATTTACAAATGTGTGTGTGTGCGTGTATGTGCGCACATGTACTGCTAGTACTGGAGCTTGAACTCAAGGGCCTTGTCTGGGTGCTGTCCCTGAACATCTTGGGTTCAAGGCTAGCCCTCTACCACTTGAGCCACAGCACCACTTCCTGCTCTTTGTCT